AAAACTGGTATATCTTCTTCCATTAATTTGTAAATTATTTACTAATTAAGTACAACTGTCGTAAAAATTATTCACAAATCTAGTCAAAGAAATTGATAACTCTCGTAATTATTAACTTCATTATAGTAACAAAAAATTTTGTCTAGTAATTATTTACACAAATGTGGTAAACAATCCACCGAAGTTGTAAATATTCTCATAAATGTCGTCATGAATCCATCGCAGTTGTAAATATTTCCATAAATATGGTAGGAATTCCATTGAAGTTGTAAATATTTTCAGAAATTTGGTAAACAATCCACTGAAGTTATAAATAATCCCATAAAGAATCCATTGAGATTTTAAATATTCTCATCAAAGTGGTAAATAATCCATTAAAGTTGTATATCTTCTTGGATAAGTTGTAAATTATTCATAAATTAACCACACACATGTGTTCTAATCGATCGATCATGACTACTAAAGAATCCATGAAAGTTATAAATATTCCAACAACTTTTATAACACATACCATTAAAGTTGTAAAAATTTCATAAACATGGTAAATGATCCAGTGAAGTTATATATGTTCTTGCACCAGTTGTAAAATATTCATAAATTAAGCATTGTGTTCTGATCGATCTATCACATTTAATGATCGATCATTGACTAGTAAAGAATACGTTGAAGTTGTAAATATTCCCACAAATTTGGTAAACATACCACTAAAATTGTAAAAAGTCTCATAAAAGTGATAAATGATCAATTGAATTTGTAAATATTTTCATAAATGTGGTAAGCAATCCATTGCACTTGTAATGAGTCCCACAAATTTCGTAAACTGTGCTTGTAAATATTTCCATAAACAATCGATTTAAATTGTAAATATTACCATAAAAGTAGTAAATCATACATTAAAGTTGTATATCTCCTTGGATTATTTGTAAAAAATTCATGAATTAAGCACACCTTTGTGTTCCAATCGATTGATCATGGACTAGTAAAGAATCCATTAAAGTTATAAATATTCCCACCAATTTGGTAACACATACCACCGAGGTTGTAAATGTTCCTATAAATAATCCATTAAAGTTGTAAATATTCCCAATAAGGTGGTAAATCATCCATTGAAGTTGTATGTCATCTTAGACTAATTGTAAAATATTCATAAATTAAGCACACCTGTGTGTTCTGATCGATCATGAAGTAGTAAACCATCCATTGAAGTTGTAAATATTCCCACAAATTTTGTAAACATACTATTGAGGTTGTAATTATTCCCACAAATATGGTAAAGATGCCACTCAAGTTGTAAATATTTCCATAAATTGGGTAAACAATCCATCCAAGTTGTAAAAATTCTGACAAATTTGTTAAACAATCCATTAAAGTTGCCATAAACACTCCATTCAATTTGTAAATATTCTCATAAAGGTGGTAAATGATCCATTGAAGTTGTATATCATCTTGGACTAGTTGTAAAATATTCATAAATTAAGCACAACTGTGTTTTCTGATTGATTATACATATTTATTGATCGATCATAAACTATTAAAGCATTCATTGAAGTTGTAAATATTCTCACAAATTTTGTAAACATATCACTGATATTGTAATTATTGCCACAAATTTGGTTAAGATACCACTAAAGTTGTAAATATTTCCATAAATTTGGTAAACAATCCATCTAAGTTGTAAATACTTCTACAAATTTATTAAACAATCCATTGAAATTGTAAATATTCCTTCAATATGATAACAAAATAACTAGTAATACCATCTGACATATCATTTCAATATTTTGTCTTGTCTACCAACCGGTATTAAACAAGTAGCCGGTTACTCTTTGTTAATTTTTTTTTTCAAAAGATACATTAATCAACGGTTCACTTTTGTTCTAACATAGATTAATGGTGGACATTGAATTTCGATTTGATACCAAAAATCCCCATGGATGTACCGTAGTTTGGTCCCAGATTCAAATCTAATAAACAAAATCAAATCTCAAATTCAATCTATTTATTTAACAGATTTTAAAATTTTATTTTATATCCACATTTGTTAATAATCAAATATTTGATTCAATCTGAAAATTTAAATCCCAACAAAATTTTATAAAAAAATTCATAATTTTATTGAATTTAAGTTAAACTTTCAATCTAATTTAATCAACCAAATATTCTATTCAATAATTTCTGTTTAATTTCATGTCAGTCTTATTAATAATCTAACTATGTATGTATATGCAATAATTTATCTTAATTAAATACACGCACACATATATATAAAATAAATCACATGGGAAGTTGAATTTTATACTCTCCATACTTCCCCCCCCCCCCCAATTCCATCACACCACCCATTTTATGAAATGCTCAATCATTTAATATTTAATTAATTTATAATTTAACATAATTTTTATTTCAAATATTATTTATATACGATAATATACACATATTGAGAAAATTTTGTTGAATTACGTATTTTGAAAAAAAATTGTTGATATATTTAAGAAAATAATTGATAAAAAAAATTTAAATGATGTAATTAAATAAATGAAGAGAAAAACTTGTTATTTAATATAGTGGAATTGATTTTTTGACCGTCCGAATTTTATGATTTTTCATGCCTTTAAGTACAGGATATATATATATATATATATATACCAGATCAAATTTACATATATTTAAATCCAAATCCGTTTAAAGAAATTTGATTGAATTTAGATTGACTTCGAATAAAATAGATTAAAATATTAATTCATATCCATTTAAAATAGGCTTGAATTCAAATTAAAATCCTCACCATTGACGGGCCTAGTCTTATACTCCGTTTGGTTGAAATAATGGAAAGTATGAAGGATAGAAAATAGAAGGAGATACATTTTCTATCCTTCAAAGATGAAAAATAGGAATGATACATTTTATTTTCTTTGTGTTTGGTTGGATGGATTAAAAATAAAAATGACTAATTTTTTTTTATATTTTTTTTGTGTTGGCTAAGATTAGGATTGATAATCAAGTCGTGTAGTGTCAAATTCATGTTGAGTCATAAAATTATGAGTCTTTTATATTTCTTATTTGCGTGTCAAGTCATTTTGAAGTTCGTGTCGAGTTATAATCAAGTTCGCATCATAAAATTTGTGTTGAGTTCGAGTCGTGTCATGGTGTTGAGTCGAAAACTTTTATCCTAGTTAAGATGAATTTTTTTTTTAAATTAAAATTTTTTATTTTTATTTTTAAAACATTATATATATACACACATTTTTATATGAAATTAGTCTATACATAATATATAGACAAATAAGATACATCCTCAACACAAATAATTAATTTTTCATCCACTTTCCTTTCGATTTTAGAGGGATTGATTTTTGTGAGTTGGAAAGAAAGTTAATTCATCCACTTTTTCATCTTTCTTATTTTCCTTCTTTATCAAACATGATGTTTTATCTATTTTTTTTATTTTTTCATCGTATCCAACTAAACATTAAGCATGATTCACAACCCCGATGGCTGGTGAAGGGCATGCGGAATGGGCACAGAGAAAAGTAAGTGTGGAAGAGAAGTTTTCTTCGCATCTTGGGCCTAAGACAAATCAAACTAAAGATTTAGGGCTTCTTGCTATGCTACTTACTATAAAAATTCATTGTGTTTTTCACTTAATGAACTAGTGTTTTTTTTATTAAAGCAGGAACACCTTTTATATTAGGGTGGGGTTATTCCCACCCGACAAATCTCCATTGTCACCCCATTTAATTTTTCATTATCAAAATATTAAACTCACCATTTCTATACCCATCACATACTACATACACCCCTATTAATAAGTAAATTCATTTTATATTTTGTTATTATTTGGATTTCATTATCTATCTTATCTCCTACACTTACAAAAAACTTTTTTCAATATGAATTTTTTCAATAAGATACAAGTTAGTATTATTTATCAATTTAGTTATATGTTTGAATTCATATTTGTTATATATATTTTTATTATTTTTGGTATGTTTTGACATCTCCATCAAGTTTAATAAATTTTTATTTAGAATTTATATGTGTAAATATATGTATGCTTTTCGATTATTTGTTTTTTTTTATCTTGTAAAGGTTTTTCATTTATGCTTGTTATTTTTTTTCTTGATCAATTTTGTGTTTGTGCTTGATATTTATTCTTTTTTTTATATTCAATTTTGCGTTTGTAATTTTGCTTGTTCCTTTAATATTTCTTTGTTTTTTTTCCTTCTTGTTTCGATTTGCTTCTTTCTTTCAATTTTTCCCTTGTTCGTTCTTTTCTTTTTTCTTGTTTCGGTCTCCCTCTTTCTTTTCTTTTCTTTCTTCTTGTTTCGTTATTTTCTTTTTTTCCTTGTTTCGGTCTCTTTCTTTTCTTTATTTTCTTTTTCTTGTTTCAGAATGCTTGATTCTTCTAACTTGTTTCGTTATTGATTTTTTTTTTCCCAATTTTACATGGTTCTTTATTTTTTTCTTGTTTCATAAATATGTTTATGCATTTAAACTAATTGTCTTCGTTCATTATTTTTTTTTTTACGATAACTTTTTTCATTAAAAGGGTGTACATAAAATGAATGAGTTTAACTATTAATGGGGTGTATGTAATATGAGGTGAATTTAATTACTAATGAGGTGAGTATAAAAGAGGTGGTCTTGATAGTTTGATAATGAAAAAATTAAATGGGATGGGAATAACCCCACCCTTTATATTATGGTTACTGTCCAGCCCAAAATCCTTGTTGCATGAAATGGTCAATCAAGACATTGGAAAGTTCCAAGAATAAGGACATTGGACCATGAGTTTAGGCCCATTCCTTAACATCATTATATTCTTTTAAGAAAATATAATTTCTTCATAATGCACACCAATTTAGGAATATTACAAAGTATTGAGGTACAAGGTGTAATATCTGAAACAAGAAGACAATCTTCATTTGCCCAAGACATTTTCTATTTTCACACAGTATATCATACAACACAAGCACAAATGAAATATATTTATTGTGAAACTATAAGTTTATAGATACCACCAGGGGTTCCTCACCCTTGTCAACAAAAAATGTCTTAGAAACTTTCTTGGACAGGGTGACAACTTCCACCTCATACGTTCCCTGGAAGCCTCTAAACCCGAATTGTCCCTGATCATCGATATCCCCATGAGCATGGGACAGCCACTCCTGTTTAAGAGCAAGGTACCTTCTTCCAGCTTCATTAAGGTCACCTTCTGCATTCACTAAATGAGAATTGTCTCGGCTCATGAACAACTCCCAGAATCCCCACAGCATCACACCATCAACTGCAGGATGGACAAAAGCTTCCCGGAGCATTACTTCCAAGTCATCAGCTCTAACATGCTCGTTATTGGAAGACACATCAAGCTCTGTGAACCAAATTGGAAGACCAAGAATGCCCAAGTTATCCAGAGCAGAACAAACGATTGGCCCAACTGGACTATCTATATGCCCTTGAACTCCAATTCCTCCCACAGGCGCGCCTTGCTCTTGCAAATCAAGAATGTGTTCAATGTACTTTTCTGGAGATGATCTGGTGTCACAACCATCCTCAACATGGTAATCATTTACAAACAGGGTGGCAGATGAGTCTAGTTTGTTTGCAGTCTTGAACATGTTTGCTCTGATATCTTTTCCCAGATGGTTTGATAGAACGACCCATGCATCATCTCATTGTTCACATCATAGTGCTTAAACTTTCCCTTGTAGCGTGTGAGAAGGCCTGTCAGACGGTTTTGAACAGCTGTCATCAAGTCTGTTTTATTTAAAGCCCGTATCCAGGATTGAACTATGTTTTCCACCTCCCAGAAAATACAGTGTCCAAGGACTGCAATATTCCGGCTCGTGCACAAGTTCAAGAGCTCATCAGCATCTCTGTAGTTGAAATTTCCTTGCTGTGGCTCTGTCCAATACCACTTCAACTCATTTCCAAACACAGCCCAGTTAAAATTTTTAGCAAAGAAATCAACAAAGTCTTCATTGTCTATGTTTGTTCTCATCATGCATGACCCACAGGGGAAACTGTTTTGTGTTTGCCTGACCCTCAAAAAGGTGCCAGGCAAACTGCCTGAATCTGATACTGAGAATTTCAGGGTAACATCACGCTTACGTATCTGCATGAAGAGCAAGGACAATCGTCTTAGGTCAGAGACGCAGAGTGTACATAAAAAGACAAATGCAGCTTGCCCAGTCTTTTATAGAAATGGCAGACAAACAAACAATTAAGAGTTCAGGTTGTGAGTACTTCAACGAATAATACTTGGCATTCTTTTATTCAAACTGCGTACTGTAGGAGAAGACATGTATTTACTGATTCTGATGCTTATATTCTCTAGGCACTTTTTACTCAATCTGTGGCGGAGAGGTAATTACATTTATTAATACATAGGTAATTAAATTTTTACCCACTATGAGGTATTTATGGACAACCCATTTAGAACAAAAAAGAACACCCTAGCAAGATCAAGTCATTTTTTTCTGCTTTTTTCCAGTTTGAGAGAGACAGAAATTGCTGTAAGAGAACCAGACTTCTTGTGCCCTTTACAGCAAGTGGTGAACTTTGACTATAAACCAGATTTACTGCCTAGCTTTGGGGTACAAGGGATTTTTCATACTACAATGTTTAAATTGAGAGGTCAATTTAGTATTGTAAAAGGACAAGGACCCAGGAAGATCCATTTTGGCAGATACATTTTCAAATGCTACGGCTTTAGTCCGAGTCAGAAGAACTTCAATTTACCAAAACTATGAAATAACAAGACAAATCATTGACGTCTTCTTCTTGTCTGAACACCCAATTCAGTATATTCCATGAAATACAACAGATATAAACCCAGAAAGTACCTTATCAGTTAGCTTCTTTAAATGTCTGAACCTTGTCTGTCGATCAACAGGAAAAATTTGAAGGCCAGCAACCATCATATCCACACCAGGGGCAGGACCTTGAACATATCCCATCACTTTGTCTGGTTGCTTCTCGATCCTAAAAGAGCCACCGATTTCATGCCATCTGTCATCATTAACCTCAGCTTGGCCACCATTTACCCACTGGCTGTCCACGCCAAGTGCTATGTTTATGTTCTGAGGACAAGTGGCCCCAGGACCAATTCGGACCCATGCAGATACTTGATATGTCAAATAGAGTTTCACTTTATCTGTGATCATCTGAGCAGGACCCATCCAAGTCTGAGTGCGATTAGTGACAAGAATGTACGAACCACTTAGAGGCTCATGAGGTCCAAGAGAATCACTTGCCATTGGAGGCAGTATATGTGGTGAACCAGTTCCAACAGTCAGAGTGCAATTGCCAAGAGGAAACCAACCATTGGTGCCATCATTGAGGTTGCTGTTCGCAATAATATTAACTCCAAAAGCTGCATTCTGGATGACAAGAAAACCATTGTTGACTGCTTAAACATAGTTGGAAATTTGGAATTCACTCATGAAAATATGCATGAGAAATTACTACATAATGACATGTGATAGACCATATAAATTCTGAGGTCCAAAACAGCTAAAGAACTAACCTCAATAACTGGAGGAGGTGAAGGAGGGATTTTCTCTGCGTGCTTCAACACTAGACTATTAAGGAGAATGTCAGTGCCTGGAGGAGGACCTTCTAAATAAACTACTACCCTTGATGGAGAACCAATTATAAGAAATTTTCCATGCATCTGTACCCAGTCTTTGTCTGTTGCCTGCACACTGCAGAAAAAAACTACCATATTGTTGGGGGGTTTAAGCAATGTGAATGAGATTTCCTACTTCATTATCTAGAATGAGGGAAAACTAAGAAGGGAAAGAAAAAAACTTAATTAAGGAAGAAGCATAAAAAGCACAAGAAGAAAGAAAGAAATAAAGAAGAATGACAAATATTGTATTATGTGAATTATAACACATTACATCTTTATAAGCAGAAGAATCTGAGGTCAAAAAAGGAGCAAGGATCACCACAACCCAAAATGTGAAAGTGAAATGTTCGGCATGGGGGTACCCATATTACAAAGAATTTTAGTTCATTAGGAAATTAGAATACTACAGAAACTATTACTCTCATGTAAATAAGCTATATACAGAATTCTTGTATGGGATAATTAAACTACATATATAGGCATAAAAGCTTTACAAAAATGTTAAACTCAACAAGCAGGAAGGTTTTTGAAGTCTAAAACAGAGTTTTGATAAATGGAAATTTTTTTTCATTTATAAACCAAAGCTGTTGTGGTGCAATGGTGCAACACAGTCATGGTATTAAGGGAATGGATAATCTATTCTCATTATCATAAAATTAAAATACTTAATTAACGCTTAAATTCCTAACCGAGTAAAAATAAAGGCATGTCTTTGAGCATCACGGCCAGAAGCTAAAGTGCTAAACATACTTCATATAGTTATCAAATATATTCAACATACTGCATAGCAGTATTCTAGAGTGTGGTGGGTAGTGTTGCAAACACTGAAAACAAGTATCCGACCAGAACTTCCTGTGCAAAGAGATTTTATCAAAGTATTGAATGCATCGTCACATGGACATAAGATAACGTGGAAGAAACTAACTTGGCAATGCCAATGTACTGTTCGCAGAGATCTGATGCCTAAACCCATAACGTAGCCCTTACATCAGCATTGGTGACGTTGTTACCAAATATTCGCACTGCAGCATTAACCTCATATGCAAGCTTTCGCTGCACTCTTCCAGTTATCTCTTGCTGAATCCCATTCCAGCTCCGTGAGCGTTGTGTTGCGGAAGCAAACATTGGAATGATTTTTCCATTTCCCATAGAGTCATGCAAAAGAATCTTGCAGCCTCTTCCAGACCAATTATTAAGGCCATCCTCAAATGCTGGGTTCAATATGATGTTGTCATCTCCAGTGCAGATGGATCTAGTGCTCCGACTCTATCAGATCAGAGATGAGGGCACTTATCAGTAATAAAAGGGGGAAATTGAGCACATCACAACGAATGACAAAAAAAAAAAGAACTATAATTTCCATTCTATTGCACTTGATCACAAATTTGATTTCCTCACTTCGTTCAGCTTGTCATCAAAACTTTTGCTTTGCCCTTTCCCCAATACTAGAGTCCTTACTCTCACATGTAGCATTCGGGAACTAGAGCTAACTTACAATGGGTTCACTGGAACAGGTTACCACTACTGATTCTATGAGTAGGTCAACTCCAGGAGAAGGCCCTTCCAAATAAAATACAACACAGTCAGGCATAGTTGACAATGAAAACTCACCTTCCAACGTCTGCCACTGGTCTTTTGAAACGGATGTCCTGCATTTGGTGATTGACATCAGCACACGTGTTTATTAAACAGAAGAACGCAACCACAATGTGGAAGGAACTCATTACCGTCCAATCAACAAATAGCTAGTAGATGAATCTTGGTATTGTAATTTAAGTGTAGCCTGGACATTGGCAAAGCCCTGAAGAGACCCTGATACTCCGCGACACGAGCAGAAACTGTATAGGTGGAACCTGGTGAAATTCTGCTTGTGATATCTTGTTCCAAGCCTTGCCAAAGCTCCTTGCAATTTGTAATAACAGCATAATGACTGCCTGACTTTGCCAATAATGCTCCAAGGTGACCAGACTCGGCTGAAACCACAAAGCCATCACAGCAATTGGGATGCCATTAAAGCAGACCACCAGAGAAGTCATGATTCAGTATTATATTGCCAGCAATACTGTTGCTTGAACTGATTACATCCTTGTTTGAGTTCTGTCATGGGAAAACATAGTTCCAAAGGCAATTTTATCACTCATACTGAAATGTAGAAGATAATTAACATTGTCCATCATAGATCAGCCATATCCATATCCTCATTAAAAGTCATTGCCACCCATATTATTAATTGTTGACGCATAATTTACAGAGTGTATTGAATTCACAATTCCAGAAATCATATGATGCCTCTTAAATCTCAAATCATTAATTGGACCTCTGGTGTGTCATCATTAATTGTCTTACACTAACATACAGTGATGTTCCAACATGCCTAATGTTGTCACTTGGCCATCATAAGCCTGGAAAGTAAACCATTGGTCAAGTTACCAATATTTGACCAATGACGAAAAAAAACCATTTCTTCTCATTCGCCAGTTTTATAGTTCACCAAAAACCAACAAGTAAATTTCTGGTTCTAGGGATGAAAATTACAATGTCAAACAATTAGGAAACTAATTTCGCTGGGTTTGTTCGATTAAAATCTCAAACTCACCTGTCAGAGCCTAAACCCCACAAACCACCATGAAATTAGCTTATCCCAACAAATTTTGAAACAAAAAAGGTAATTTGGAAATTTAAACATAGTTGACAAGAAAACCATTGTTGACTACTTAAACATAAGTTGGAAATTTGGAATTCACTCTTGAAAATATGCATAAGAATTTACTACATGATGACATGTGATAGACCATATAAATTCTGAGGTCCAAAACAACTAAAGAACTAACCTCAATAACTGGAGGAGGTGAAGGAAGGATTTTCTTTGCGTGCTTCAACACTAGACTATCAAGGAGAATGTCAGTGCCTGGAGGTGGACCTTCTAAATAAACTACTACCCTTGATGGAGAACCATTTATAAGAAATTTTCCATACATCTGTACCCAGTCTTTGTCTGTTTCCTGCACACTGCAGAAAAAGACTAGCTTACTGTTGGGGGGTTTAAGCAATGTGAATGAGATTTCCTACTTCATTATCTAGAATGGGGGAAACTAAGAAGGGAAAGAAAAAAGCAAGAAGGGAAAGAAAAAAGCTTAATTAAGGAAGAAGCATAAAAGGCACAAGAAGAAAGAAAGAAATAAAGAAGAATGACAAATATTGCATTATGTGAATTATAACACTTTACATCTTTATAAGTAGAAGAATCTACAGAGGTCAAAAAAGGAGCAAGGATCACCACAACCCAAAATGTGAAAGTGAAATGTTCGGCATGGGGGTACCCATATTACAAAGAATTTTAGTTCATTAGGAAATTAGAATACTACAGAAACTATTACTCTCATGTAAATAAGCTATATACAGAATTCTTGTATGGGATAATTAAATTACATACATAGGCATAAAAGCTTTACAAAAATGTTTAACTCAACAAGCAGGAAGGTTTTTGAAGTCTAAAACAGAGTTTTGATAAATGGAAATTTTTTTTCATTTATAAACCAAAGCTGTTGTGGCGCAATGGTGCAACACAGTCATGGTATTAAGGGAATGGACAAGATCAGATAATCAATTCTCATTATCATAAAATTAAAATACTTAATTAACGCTTAAATTCCGAACCGAGTAAAAATAAAGGCATGTCTTTGAGCATCACGGCCAGAAGCTAAAGTGCTAAACATACTTCATATAGTTATCAAATATATTCAACATACTGCATAGCAGTATTCTAGAGTGTGGTGGGTAGTGTTGCAAACACTGAAAACAAGTATCCGACCAGAATTTCCTGTGCAAAGAGAGTTTATCAAAGTATTGAATGCATCGTCACATGGACACAAGATAACGTGGAAGAAACTAACTTGGCAATGCCAATGTACTGTTCGCGGAGATCTGATGCCTGAACCCATAACGTAGCCCTTACATCAGCATTGGTGACGTTGTTACCAAATATTCGCACTGCAGCATTAACCTCATATGCAAGCTTTTACTGCACTCTTCCAATTATCTCTTGCTGAATCCCATTCCAGCTCGGTGAGCGTTCTGTTGCGGAAGCAAAGAACTTTCCAGTCATTGGAATGATTTTTCCATTTCCTATAGAGTCATGCAAAAGAATCTTGCAGCCTCTTCCAGACCAATTATTAAAGCCATCCTCCAATGCGGGGTTCAATATGATGTTGTCATCTCCAGTGCAGATGGATCTAGTGCTCCACCTCTATCAGATCAGAGATGAGGGTACTTATCAGCAATAAAAAAGGGGAAATTGAGCCCACCACAACGAATGACAAAAAAAAAACTATAATTTCCATTCTTAGTGATAAAGGGCATGTCATTTTACAAAAAGAGGTTGGAATTAATCAACTACGGCCATCGAAACGATTATAAATTTTGCATCTCTCTCTCTCTCTCTTCTATATGTGAGTGCACACACAAATTACAATGTATTCATATTTATGGATCATTTGTAGTGGATTCATTGCATTATGCGTTTTTCTAACATACAACTATGTGTATTTGAGAATATCAATCGTAGGTATAAAAAAAATGTTTTTCTACTTATTTTATTTTCTCAAAAATGAACTCGCATACTGTAATTTATTACCAGAAATTATAACAACACATTCCAGATGCCATATAAATAGTCCAGGTTTCAACCTTTCTAGATCTCTAAAAGAAAGCTGTGTACAATAGTTTCATATAAGAAAAGAAAATCCCTTTAGCTAAATACAACATTGCTTTATAATTGGAAATTGAAAACCCATTACATTCACTCACAACAAGAATAACTATCCCTATCTGCAACGGACAAAAAAACCGGTACAACAAACTATTGTACATAGCTTTGATTAATTGCCATTCACTTATGACTACAAAAAGTCACTCATCAACGAGCAATTGTTCCAAAGTAAGAACTCGGATTTCGTTGCTCAATGTTTGGGTTCGAGTCTCCATAGCTACGACAGTTTGTTGGGTTAAACCTATTCTTCAACGCTCAGAACACGCGGTGGGAATTTAGTTCCGGTCCCAACATAGGTGCGGTTGAGTCCCCAACAAATAGATGCGTGGTGACGAGGGATAATGCTCCCTAGTGGATATATGAAGTGGTCTATCTACATATCCATTTTGTGTACCAAAAAAAAAAGTCCATCAGTCAACAAAAAAACTAAACGATAACTAGAATTGCTTTGTATCATGACACCTCATCCACCACTCCACAATAATTCTTTGAAAGTAAGAATTTTACCATCCTTCTGACGGAATAACTCATGATAACAAAATATGTTAATGAAGGGACAGTATTTTAAGGCAATATGTAAATCCCCTTTCAGGGTAGCCCAAACTTGCTACAAAACTGATGGGCATTGATTATTAAATGGATTGCCTGTCAATAGTAACCTAATGGAATATAGTTAATTTCCCAGGTACGAACACCGACAAGCAATGAGTAAGCACATATGTTTCTTTATTTTACTAGTGACTAAGCAAATCTCAACTCTATTATCACGTTACAATGTTCAAACATGAGTATGTAAAAAACCACGCCCAAAAACATATAAATCTATTTCCATATTTGTAAGAGGAGCAATGAGAATGGCTTACGAGAGTCTCAGACACTGGGAGTAGAGACTTCTCTAACAATAAACCATGCATGGTGGCGAGTAAGCAACATGAATGTGTACACCATCCAGGCGCTAATAAATATGTGCTGAGAAAGGAGGGCATGTGAATACCATTGGTGAAGCTAACACTGGTATGGGAAATGACTTTGAAATGGAACTCCCTCTGGAACACTAAACCTGAAAATTCACAGAATTTAAATATTAAATCATAAAAAGGGGAGACACAACACAATCCAACCCAAAAAGTTAACGAATAATGGAAGGGCAGCTTCCGATGGAGATGAGGGTGACCTTGAATGACACATTTCCACCACAACTGCTTGCCATTGAGATGTCTGGCTACTTCATCTACAGTAGTTACTAAGCTGATGAATAGTTCTCTGGAATTCTAAAAGTTATGAAGCATTTATATTGGATTACAAATATTTAATCTAGAAGACAAAAAGTTAAAACAGTTATGATTAGGTTAACGATAAAAACGATTTTAATTAGTTGACATTTATATATGCTATAGATATAGATATACATAAGTATATGAAGGGTCATTTGAAATATTTAATTAATATTAGATAAAATATATATATATATATATATATATATATATATATATATATATATATATATATATATATATATATATAAATAGTATATGAAGGGTTTTAAATGATATTACATAATAAAAAAATATAGGGATATAGTTGGCTTAAAAATTTATATAAATATAGATATAAATATAGATATAGATAGACTGAATTAATAGGCTCAATTCACTCAAGTTAAAATATTTTGTCGAGTTTTTTGTGAACTGATACTTAATTTACCATTTAATTATGAAAAAGTATTCGGTACAAAATATTTTGTATAGAACTATTATTTTTTTTGGATGACAAAAATGCCTATAAGATAACAATTACTTGGTGTAAAAAATAAATATGGAAACTGTCATAAATCATGCAGCAATCTCATTAAATTCGATAACTGTTATATTCCTCAAAACATGGGTGTTCAAAAAAAAAAAACTGCTCTAAAATCCTTCAATTTTCAACAAAAAAAAGTATTGTGTTCTTCTTCAATCTTTTTTTCTGTAGAATAAATTATATCTTATGAGGAAGAACTGTAACACTAGAGTGATGATGCAGCGCTGCTTCTTCAAACGAGAGAGAACTAAAATTAAAAAGCAAAGATAACAACTGTAACTTCTGTAGTTTGGTAAATAAAATTAAAAATATCATAATTTGATAATTTTATTTTAAAATTACAATAAATTGATAATTAATTCTAGAGACATTGGGAATCAATGAATTGGAGAGAATTTAGAACAGCAGATGATTCACAACCTGAATTGGCACTTTCCTAGAAAACCGCGCGAAATAACCAGGCTGTAACGGAGTCGTTGGCGGGGCCTCTAACTGTAACTTCAAACCAATAATTCAACATACATTCCCAGCACCTCTTTCACAACTTATATCAAACACTCTCTACTTCCAGGTAATTCTTGTTATGTTTGAACTAAATAGAGCTATTTATTGCAGGTAAGCCATTCTTGTGAAATTCTTTTATGTAATTTTTGTATTCTTTGGGTTGATTTTATTTAAAACTGTTGAAGTTTATACAATTGATGAGAGGTAAACGAACTTTTATTTATAGTTAGTTAGAAGTATCTCCTTATGACGTGCAATTTTATACATGTAATGAAGATTTGGTCCACCAGCTATTAGTTCATGCTATAAAATATACAGTGTACAGTACTTTTCTATGGCATATGAACTTAAAGTTTAGTATAGTAAATTTGTATTTCTGGGATTACCATAGAGAGTAAACTATGGCTATCACTGTAGCAGGTAATCCAACAGTGGGACAAACTTTGGGTTGTATTCAAGTGGGCCAATCCACCGTAGCTATCAGAGAAAATTTTGGTAAATTCGATGATGTCCTTAATCCTGCTTGTCACTGTATGCCTTGGTGTATAGGAAGCCAGTTAGCAGGCTACATTTCATTAGGTGTGCAGAAGCTTGACGTTCGATGTGAAACAAAGACCAAGGTCGTTTATTTCTGTTGCTTCCTATCTTATGAACATCTTATCTATTCAACCATGAATAGAACGGACTATAACAAGGCTGGATGTGAGTTATTCTGTTTAATATAATAGGAAATATAAGGCAGTTTAACTATATCTGCTTCTGTAGTTTCCTGTTATGAAGCATTATGAAGGCTTGAAATTACAAATAAAATTTTCTATCATAAATAGAAAGGACTGTTGATGTAAACTGCGATCCATTTTGTGTCATCAGGATAATGTTTGAAGGGTTAATAGCATTTTTTTGTCCTTAAAATATGCATGTTTTATAAATTTAGTCTTCATTATATTAATTTTATTAATTTCATCCATAAAATATTCAAGGAAAAATTTCAGCTACAACCCCTATAAATAGGTTTATCTTCAACGACACCCCTTATCTTTTTTGAAATTTCACTGACCTCCCATGTCAGTGTTGGTCGACTAACAGACGTGACAGAAACACACGTTTTATCATTTTACCCATAAATTTTATAAAGATTTACTTATTAACCAATTATTTTTCATTAGACTATATATAAATACATATTCCTATTTCATGCAAGTATGAACATGTTTGTTTGCTAAATATATGAGATATTAGGAAGTGGGATATAGTAAATAGTACCTGGGACTCACTTATTACTTTATTTGGTTGGCATTTTATGTGCAATACTATTTTTCAGGTTGTAATACTGATCTGGTTTGTATAGTAACATTTATCCCTTGTACATAATTTTAATGAATATCACCTATTAGGTGGTATTATTTGTTGGTATAAATTCACCAATGGTACATGTAAGAAAAATGATACAAATACTCTCCTCTGTAGAGTTCACATAGAAAAAATTCATTTGAATTTTTTCCTCGTACGATGTCACCAGTTTTTTTTAATTTTTTTTTAAAAAAATTATTTTAAATTTTTTCTTGGTATTATGTTTACACATACAATATCACCATTTTTTTTAAAAAAAAAATTTAATTATTTTGAATTTTTTCATTGTATTATGTTTAAACATACATTGTCACCGGATTTTTAAAAAAAAAATTTTAAAAAAATTTTTTTGAATTTTTTCCTTGTATTATGCTTAAGTGTACGGTATCACCGGTTTTTTTTAATTTTTTTTTAAAAAATTATTTTGAATATTTTTCTTATATTATGTTTAAGTGTACGATGTCACCGGTTTTTTTTAAATTTTTTTTTAAAATTATTTTGAATTTTTTTCCTGTATTATGTTTAAGCGTAGGATGTCACCGATTTTTTTAAAAAAAAAATTCTAAAAAAATTATTTTGAATTTTTTCATTATATTATGTTGAAGCGTACAGTATCACTGGTTTTTTTTATATATTTTTTGAATTTTTTCCTTATATTATGTTTAAGTGTATGGTGTCACCGATTTTTTTAAAAAAAAAAATTTTATGGTGTAACCGATTCATAGCACTAGATTTTTTATTTTTTATGTAAATTTTTTACATAATTCTTCACCGATTAATGCTAAGACTAGTTACTTGGGTTCATTGCCATATTGTTTTTTTGCAACTTGGTGATTGGGTGTTGAGGTATAAGAGGAAGAGGGAGAGGGAGAGAGAGGGGTGAAACAAGGGCTTCGTGGGAAATAAGAAAGGTAAAATTGATATTCAATAAAAATTTTGGTATGACATGAGTACTTTTCTGATCACTTTTCTGATGATCAGTAACAAGTGGTTACGATAGAGGGTCTAGATGAAGATGACATATAACTAGAAAGAAGTACAGTGAAATTTCAGAAAGGTAGAAGATGTCGTTGAAGATAGACCTATTTAGAGAGGGTGTAGATGAAATTTTTTCAATATTCAATTCGTATTTAAATGGTCCATAATCAGACAGTCCGTTAAATTTTTTGATATGAGTGATTACGTCTTATTTTTTTAGATAATATCACGTGACTAACATATAATTATTTTCATTAAAAAATTTAACGAGTCAACTATATGGGAACCATTTAAATATGAATTAAATATTTTAGGGACCAAATTAAAAAACATGATACAATGAGGATCAAATTGATAAAACACGCATAATTTAGGAATCAAAAATGCTATTAACCCTATAAAAATTCAACACTTTGATAAAACTAATAAAACACTCAACATTTTGATACCATTTTTAATAATTTACTATATAGATCAAAATTATAAGACTAATTCCAACTTATACACCGGTTTAACAAAAATTAGTTAACTCACTTCCTACAGTATCTCACATTATATCTGAAACCTATGCTCTGATACTTCAAACATTTTTACTTGCAACAAAAATTGATACTCACTTTTCACGTGATTCATATAAGATCTGCTATCTATACTCTGATACCACTTTGTAATGCCCCGACTTTTGGAATGCGTTAATTAATTAATTGACTAAAATATATCTCCAAATATAGAGTCAGAGTTTTAATTACTTCAATAAAAATTATAATTACAAATTTGATATCCAAAGACTAATAAAACTTGTAATTTCAATTTTATAAATATTATATTAATATTTGTCAATTTCCGATTCCTCAAAATATCAACTGTAGTCATTTTCTTTCAGATCATCCTGAAAAATATTAAAAAGGGAAAGTATAATACATTGTGAAACAATATGCTCAACGATAAATAAATAAAAAATGAACGATCAAATAAACAACAAAATCAAGAATTATATTTGATAGATCACATAACTCAACTGCTATCAAATATTAATCGATAGTCAATCATAAACAACAAAATCAATAATTATATTTGATAGATCACATAACTTAACTGCTATCAAATATATCATGGCACTTTGACATATAAATCAATACTCATGCTAATTAATCACACTCATAAAGCCACAACCAAACCAAACAATCACACCTCACAGGACCACAATCATATTTTACAAATTATGTCTAAGCTCATATTGTATATGTACCAATCAATCCTAAAATATTTAGCCAAAAATATAAGTCAAATCAACAAAACTTGCAAAATTTTGTATCAACAAAAAATAATCAATAGTAATACAAATTTTAGATGATCAAAATGATACTATTTACAAATAGATTTAGAGACAGGAGCATATTGTATACTACTTCGTACTTCAAAACTCAAATTAATACCGATAAATTTGATCGCCACTGTCTTGAGAGCAATTAACACGACTTGAGACTAAAATCACTATTTAATTTTGAACCCAAAGCTTCATTCCCCCCTCACTCTCTCTCTTTCCTTTCCTTTCCCATGGTTTGCCTAGAATGGCTATTTATAGCCAAAATTTGTTCCCATGTCACTTGGGTGATGCCATAGTTCTTGCATCATCACGAACTTTTGTTCATGATTTGTCCACTTACTTTTTTTTTTTTTGCAAAGACTTATTACAGGACTATATATGACTACATTCCGAATGTGACACTTGTCACCTTATCCCTTACCAACTTGACACCGACATTTTTTTTAACAATACGCTGCACACTTTCACACAATTTGCATAATGAGAATACTTTGGATATTTAACATGTCATTTTTATTTCAACTCTTTGTCATTGGATTTGTTTTCAAGTAAATAATTCATATTTGAGATCCATGTAGAATCATAATTAATGTATTAGTAATTAATTTTTATACGGATCGTCACAATTTTCAGGTATGAGAAATTTTTAACCATCTTGACTTGTCCCATAGTCCAAACAATACATGTTTTAAAAGGTTAACTGAATTATATGACGGTAATGTAACAAAATTTAACTGGCTAACCTTTGTGAAAAATACTAGTTTGGAAGACTACACTTCCTTTCTCTTTGTTAAAACTAATGGGAGAGATCAGGTCAGTTTATAGAATCTTGTTGTTTGAAGTCTCTATGAATTTTGCAAGTCTATGAAGCTTGCTTGATTTATGCTCGATTAATAGAATTTTTTTTTTTGTGGAAATTTATAGCAATATGCCTTGGTAATGTTTAAAGGAAAGACCCTAAAGATGTGAAGGAATTGTTGTTCTTAAATCTATTTTTTTGCCATGTAGGAATTATGAAAGAACTATGTTTAAATCCATTAAATCAATCAAATGAATAAATCGACAAGAACCCCACACCACACGAACTATTTGTCAACACTAAATCCAATTATCTTTAGCAAATGCATCATATCCTTCTCATAGTAAGAATTTTTTACATCAGATGAGCTGAGCTCTAAAGCACAGGCTCCAGTTGCACAGTCCTGTAGTTAAAGATGAAGAGTTCAAAACTCACCCATTACTTCTCTTCTTTACCTGATAGAGAATGGGATACCTAGTTCATATCCTCTTCAAGAAAAGGATAAGGGGAGGAGTACCCCGAAGGCGTCGAGTTCTTCAGCTCCCACCTGCTTTACAAATGGGCTAAAATAATGTTTTCAAAAGCATAGCCAACATTTGGTGATCACATTTCCACAACTCTCATGGTGTTATGCACAACAAAAAAATATGATCTGCAACTTTTGACTTCCCTAAAATGCAGGCTCTATTAAGCTCACTGAATCTGTGGACTGAGCATACCAGCCAGAACAAATATTCAAGAATAATGGGACTGGGGGCTGATGAATTTATTTCTTCTACAACTACAAGAGAGAGAGAGAGAGAGAGAAAATGAAGAAAAGGGGGAAAAAAGAAAGCTTCATTGTCCGCCTTTCCTTGATTACTGTCAACAGTCACCCACGCTGCTTCTGTGAAGACTTCGAAAGTATCTCAACATAAGTTCTTTGTTCCAAGCAGTTTCACAAGCACCTTCGCAATTATGGTCATATCGTGTATTTGTAATCGATGAATTGTGCGCATCAGAATACAGCTCAATCTACTTCATATTTACTTCTTCAATTCCCAAATGCGAGAATTCAACCTGCGTTCCATGTGCCCGAGATTTGTCTCCTGCAAAGTGGCAAGTTAGACAGCCAATAAAATATTGCTTTGATTCCAATTAAAAAAAAAGTCTTTCGTTGAAATTGGTCAAGTCAAACCTAGTGCCATGTCTTCAGGGTCTTGGAGCCTGTCATCATCTCGATTTTCATTGGCATTCAAATCCACAGCTTCATATGGTTTACAGGAAGTAGATGTGAACTGGCAATAGGCAGAACGCAATTGCTGATGAATTTCTTCCATCCTTCTGCACTGCTCATCTGTCCTATCCATCTCAATAAGAACCTGTGAGCAAACCCACAAATCAAACTTGGAGAACAAAATAAAGGAAGGGAAAAGACAAATCAATTTCCAGTAGTTACTTGTGCAGGGTTGCTCCTAAATATTGGTTGAAACCTCTGCCTGCAGTACTCGTTGAAAAGGAGTGTTGAAATAATCAGTGGAATGGTGAAACCCAACGCAACTGTGGATTCTTTCAATCCAAAGATTCCCAGAGCAATTAATTGGGTCATTACCAAAGAGAAGATTGTTGTCTTATGCACAATAGGCCAATACAGTCCTCCAGTTTGATATTTAGTAATATATACATTGAGAATCTGAAAGGTGCATTTGCAGCTTAGTATCAAAAACTCACATTAAATTCTTCAATCTTCCCCTCCCTCCCAGCCCCCAAAAAAGAAAAAAGAAAAACCAGTAATATATATATGCATGGCGAAAATGCATCAACTTGACTTAAAAATTCCTAACAAGCTATGTAAATAGGTTCCGTCATTTGGAAAAATATCATTATCCTGTTTGGTCCTCGTTATCAAGGGTGATGGAATGGGTAAACTGGGAACAGACCTAATTATCCTGGAATATTTGCACAATTTGTAACGAAATGCTCACCTGATTACGGTAGACGAGATAGGCAAGGAAAAAATAAACCAGCAAGAAGGGCAATATTAAAGGTGCCAATATAGAGAAGGTGAATCCCAGAAGGACAAAAAGGAGGACCCTTGGAACTTCTGTGTGGTATGGAAAAGAATAAGAGCCATAAGATGGATCATCCTTGTTTCTGATAAAGAATCTATCAAATAAGTTGCACAGAAGAGCAAAAGGTTGCATGAGTTCACATGACAAACTCGCCCAGCCAGAAGTCAAAACATAAGTCATAAAGAAGGTAGCCTGCAACAATGCAAACCCACATACATTACTAAAAAAAATATTAAAAACTTTACGTTTGCTTAAATTGAATAAGGGACCACAATTTTTTTTGTCTCATTTGAATGTATCCCAGCTGAAGAAAGGACTCAATATATAAGACCTATGAGGAGCATTTAATTTACTAATGAGCACTATTGTGGCAAACCTTGATCTATGACTGAAAAATACTGCTCAACATTGACATTGAGCAATACAATTCCGTTAATGGATGATTAAATCCATAAAAGTGCTCCAATATTCATTGGATATTGAAAACATAGGAAGATAAAAATTCTGACAAAGGAAAACGGTTGGCTCATGGCTGGGAAGGTATAAATCTGAGATACGAACACAGGACCCAAATAGGATTACCACCTACATCAAGAAAAAAATATTTATATATATCTACAAAAGAAATACCGCGGATGGTACAGCTCTAGAAAGTTGATTAGGTATGCTTTTTGCGCTAGAAATTTTTCCCAAACGCTCAATAGCAGTCCCTGTAAAAATCTGAGCAAAGAAAACATTCCAAATTAAGAAGTATAAGACTTTGATGCATGCACTCTTTTTCCTGCCACTGCGAGATATGGAGCCCTCCAATGCTGAAAATAGCATCATTAATGGTGGAACAATGTACAGAAATAGCATCAATATCACACTTGGTAGATACCCTGTAACCAGCTGGATCAAAATCTTCCTGCATGCAAGTGAAGAAAGATAAGTTGCAATCCCTTGTTGTCTTTCTTTATAATTATATATCCGCAAAGATATTGTGTCTAGTTCAAGTCCACAAAAAAAATAAAAATAAAAAGTACCCATACTTCATGCTATTTTCCCTAAGGGTCCATTTGTTTAGTGGGATAATGGTAAAAAATACAAGAAAGAGAAATTTTTTAAAGTTTTATGTGTTTGGTTAGCATGAAATGGAAATTGATGAAAAAAATAATTTTCTCCCATATTTAGATTTTCTCACAACTAACTAACTTTTTTTTTTCTTATTTTTTTTTTCTTCCGACTTTTTTTTCTTATTAAATACTCAAAGAAAATCAAGAAAGTTTTGAACTATAATTTAATTTTTGATTTTACCCTTATTTTTCTTATAATATTCAATTGCTTATTAATTTTGAAAAAACTTGGTATGAGTTAGATTAACCATATAATTGGCCTGCATAATTGGGTTCAAACTGATTCTAGCCCCATAATTAAGTTAAAAGCCACTTTTTTTAAAAAAAAAATTAACTTTTAATTATAATACATATTTTTTCTTCTTTAAACTGATTTAATATAATTAAGGGTAATTTAGACAATTGAAAAAAAATTCTTGTAACTTTGCTTTCTTTCAAACAATAGAATAATTTTTTTTTAAAATTTTCTTGTAAGTTTTTCATGCTAACCAAATAGATGCATGAAAATATATTTTCTTTCATTTTCTTTTCTTTCACTTCACTTTATCACTTTCATACCCTAACATAAAAGTTCATGATGTTGATCCTGCCAGCACTCAGGATCAGGCAGAAAACCTCCTCTTGCTGCTGAAAAGCCGTTGCTTGAGCCTATAAACTAAAATGGGATTCGATGGCTTAAGGAAGTTTTTAGCCCAAAGGGACCCTCCTAACTATAAGAGAAAAACTACCAGAAGTTAATGGAAAAAATGTGTTGGTAGTAATATTGTAATAGTTCAACAATTCTGCTCATGGTCTAACTAGTATGATGCTAACATCACTTGCTTATACTTCTATCCTCATAGGGTGTCTCTATTGCTAGAGCATCAAAGGAAGCTGCAACTGCAATACACAAAGTAAAGTTCTTATATTTTGTAGCAAACGCAGTCAATGTTGCTCTAGCAAAAGTAGAAGCCTTCGACGTAATAGTAAACCTGAAAAATCTGAATAAGATCAACAATTGAGAATGGGATAAACGAAAAATTGAAAGAATTGGGACAGGTACCATCATTTTATAGTTATATTTAATATTTAAACAAAAATGACCCAGCAAAGAATGTATCTGTCCGTCACAAACATAATTGAGCATTTATGTGGTCTGGACAAACTGCAGAGGTATACACATGCACTAAACTTGTAACTACACAAACAAAAACAAAATAAGCATCCCGGGGACAACAAACAGGTTAGCAATTATATGGATGATCTAGCTCTTTCTACGTTTCTATATTCGTGCACAAAAGAAAGAATCTCAAATCTATACTCAGATATCTCTCCTGTCATTTGTAAATCACATTCAAGAAATTGAACAATTTGATGATATGGCATGAATTTGTGCTGCTAACCTTTAGACTATGATTCAACACTTTAGGCTATATTTTTTGTTAATATTTAAATGATATCTCCAGAAATTAATCTGAAACACATATAATGCACTTCTTAGCACAGAATTTTCCAGATGTCGATTTATAAAATTTATTTAACTAACACTTTAATCCATGTAGAAAACCAACTCAACATACCAAGTTTAATTTTCTGTAATGTGCAGAACTCTAAAAACAAGAGGTGCATCAAATTGCAGTCACAGAGATAGACAGTAACAATACCTCTCTGAAATTCCTCTTAAAAATGGAAATATCTTCTGTAGTTTATCGAGGTGAGCAATACTTTGTACGATTGTCACGGGTGCAAGAAAAAAAACCATGAAAACAATAGATGACAGAAGAGTTGTGGTTCTACGGATCCAAAGCAACCTATATGGCACACAAAGGTTTGTCCATTGATATCATTTGGTTCTGGAGCTAGGTCTGTAACCCATAACATGGGATTTGATGATTGCATGGCCTGTGAAGCAACCAAGGCAGCATAGCGAGTCCTGAAGAAAATTAATGCAGCAGCGCACTCCTGCATGAAAAATTGCATTACTATCAAATGCTTTATACTATATTGTGATTGCACCAATTTTTTTGGAAGTAATCAATCTCATGAGAAGGTTTAACCTACAACGGCTTATTGATGCACACACACACATAAGAAGTAATAATAAAATCACAGATAGTAATGATAAGAATTAAAATAAAAGATAGAAAAAAGTATATTACCATATGTCACACTATTTTTTCAGCTAAAAATACTCTGAGCCCATAAAGCATTGATTAAAACAAGAAACAATGAAACAATTATAACATGACTGAACCATGAAGGACCAGATACTCGCATTCAAAATTTGTGGTTGATCCATACACATGTAATGGCAGACTTCAGTATACCATAAGTAATCAAGATAGTCAAGACCAATCTGCATGAAAGTCAGGATATAACTGAGTAGAATCATGACTCACAGGTAAAACAGTAATTTACCCATACAAGCATATGCAACAAGGCAACAACCACTCTGTTGTTGCCTTCTTTATGTTTAGCCATTTTAACTTTAGAATAGTTTCATCAGTAAGAGAGGGATAAGATATTAAAATGGGGGCTCCAAAATGAAATAAAGGAAGAATACAAAAGCAAGTGTAGAAGCGCCATGGCTAACAACAAAGCTGAAAGCTGAGTTTGCATCCACATTCCCAGAAATATGATAGATAAATAATAAAAAATCCAAAGTTGTGCTCTAAAATGAAACAAAGCATAAGAAGTGCCACAACAAGCCACAAAGCTGAGCTGCCATCTCTGCCCAGAAAATAACCATGTAGCCAAAACACAACCTGTTGACATTGTGTTATAAAATCACCATGTTTCCTATTCTTGATTCAGCATTTTCCCTTTGCAAAGGGCGCACAATTAAATAAAGCTTTTGACTTAAATGCTTGTAGACTATTATTGTTGTCAACTGAATATGTACTATAGTTTAGTGGGCCTATTTTTTAAACTAGTCAAAGAATGTATGTGCTTCCATGATTGTGTTTACAAGTGCACTGTGAAAATGGAATATTTGCTGGGGTTGAGGTAGTTATGGTGAACACACTTTTAAAAGAGGAACATCTCTACTTGTGATTTATTCCACTACGCTTAGAGAATAAACCTTTGCTGGATTGCCTAACAATGTAAGTTGCCAAAGCATGGCTACTGTTTTTGTTTCTGGTTGTCACGTGTATTGAATTGATCATCTCACTTGCTTATCAAATTTCTCCACAACCCTAAAAGACCAAGTGGAGTGAGCACCTTTTCCAAAAGTTTTATAAGATACCAATCTCTGAAGCAAATTGCATTCTACTGCTTTTTTCATTCTGATAGAGATGTCTAAACAAGTAAATAGGTTATCAAGGACCTATATTGATGCCTTAAGGCATTCATCTTTTCAGCACAAATGGTAATGGACAACAGATCAATCCTTTCCTTTTAACATTATATGAAGAAAAAGAGTTTTTCTTTTTTTTTTTTGAAAGGAGCAGAAGGGTCAAAGGAAAAGTTGGTTGCAAAATTGGGGAATCTTTTAGCAACAACTACAACTACCAAGGCAAAACTACTCTAATGATGCGGAACGCCCCCTGGAGACCTAGGACCATATGCAATACATGTGTCACACTCAATGCATATCACATATCAACATGACTGAGCTGCATAAGAATGATAGATGATCCTAAAGCAAAATACAGATATAGTAAGTACATGAAATTGAAAACCTTTTCTCTCAAATCTGGATTGGCAAATTCACGTCTTCCATTTACACTTTCTGGTTCGCTAGAAAGGATCTTAAAAGCTTTTGCAGTTCCTCCACAAAGGCCGCATCTCATGAAACTTAATCCACAGTGCTGATCCATAGGATTAGACTTCAGCATCTTGTATATCTTCTCTGCATCACTCTGCAAGCAGACAAGGTCAAACAACAATGGAGCAAAGATTCTCGGAAAAGAAAAAAACATAACAGGAGAAGGCATGACAATATAAACGACAGGAAAAATTTGAAAATCTTAGATAATGGGCCGATGGTCAAACCACTGAAGAATGTAGTTTGGAATTTTCAAAGGAGGATTTTCATCTGGATTCGATAAACGGTTTTATCCAAGACATGAAGTTACTATAGTACGATGGCATGACCACTTGCAAGGATGGCCCTTTTAGGTGCACATTTTAGAAAAGAAAAATTCCTAACCTCTGATGAAGCTAAAAGAATCTTAGTAACCACCACAATACTTGGACATGACAATTTACAAACGTATATCTATTAGACAAACATATATCTGTCCGCGAAGTGTTTAAGTATTTGTATCCAAAGTTACATATGGTTTAAGTCCATAAACATCGCAAAAACATATGTCTTTCTTGCTTCATTCCATCAAACATTCAAGAGGTCGCTCTCATGCTGGCCTTTCTTTCTTTCTTCCCTGAAATTAAGTTTACTAGCTTCAATGTTAATGGGACATGAAATGTGTCTGCAAACATATACAACGCAATTTGTGTAAAATATTTTGGCTACTAATTATATATTCACACAATACCAAAAAATTATGAATATAACAATATGGTGATTAATGAGAAGTAATAGAAGAGATGTATCACAGCAAGCTATGAGCATGCGGCATAGGTGAAAAAGTGCAAGCAATAAATAATTCTACTAATCCATAAAAGCCCAGCAGACTATGGAACTCCATGATAACAATCTCCAGCAGACTATGAAACTGAATGTGTGAAGCTTCAATAAGCATGGTAAAGTGTGAAAAAGCTTAGAAGAGAAAGCATGTTCACATGGGAGAGAGACACTAAAAATACAGGTTCACTACATGGAGACTCACCTATCTGCGAAGGAGAAAGAGAGCGAGAGAGCCAAGTCTGACAGGTTGAAAGGAGAGAGATGAAAGTCTGAAAGCTTCAGAGTGACACTCACAGGTGGAAGAGCATAACAGAGGGATGCAGTTGTTGAGACTGGGGTTTGGTACAGAGTGGATGGCAAATGTGAGTGGTTCTTCACAGATAGGCACGTGAGTAGTAGTCTTGCTTAATTAATAGTAACAGATTAGATAAATAAATGTGGCTTGGTCTTTTAGCGGACTCAATTTATTCAAACTTTCATCATGCACAGCTTTTGAAACATCATTTCTAATGCAGAATACATTACACCATAGCAGCAAAGTTGCCATAACCTCGTGCATAATAATCTGGTTAATAGATGAGTGAATAAAGAAAGCAACCTAGTTCACATCTTAAGGTACATAGCCAATTCTAAGTTCCTTATCCATGTCACTCTTTAAGGTTCTTTATAAAAATCACTCCCTAAACAAACCAACTGGATGGCATTCATCACCATCACTTTGTAATTCTTCTCCCACTTAGTGACAACTCATGAAATATTCCAGAAAAATACAGATCCAACAACGGTTAAGAAGAAAAAAGATGTGCATTCACATCATGCCACAGCTAAGTAGAAGGAACAGAGATAAAAAATCTAATTTACAGAGAATTCCCTATGCCAGAAAGTGGTCTCTTACTAAATCCTTCGACTTTTGTCGACATTAAAATTTGGTGTATGGGCATGCTGTTTAATTTCTAAGAATAGCAACCGTTAAAACAACCATACATCTGACCCAAAAAGTAAAGAAGTTTGCAGGTTTGGTTGGTTCAAGCTACTAAAATATCTTATTAGTCCCTTTTAATAACATGAATTTAGAGAGCAATCAATTGTTAATAGTGATACGAGTAAGAAAATTCTGTCCTCAAACTTATTGCCACTCTTGTAATACATAACTTTATGAAGGCCCCAATTCATGAAAGTACTCAAGAAGGAAAAGGTTCTGAAGTTAAACCATATATGAAGATTTTATGGTGCTTAACTACAGGTTGAGTAGCATCAGGTTGTAGCCATACTAAATTAGATAATGAGCACCAAACAGGTTCGCAGACAACCCATAAGGAACTCATTAGTGAAGATGGAATCAGCTAGCACAAAACTAACCTTGTCTATAGGTGAGTTTAACCCAAACTCTTATTGAGCACAGGTAGCTTGGTAAATTTAGAAACACATTGCAAGCCCTAGATGTGATCATTTAATAGATTTTATTTAGCTTCCATTTGCACATCAGGTCTTAAGTGATAAGCCTACTCGACATGGTAAATAGCATTATTGTCTTCTGATATACAATTGGTATAGAACAGCTACAACCTGATTTGAATAAGTTACTGCATGAAGAATATGAGCTTCTCCCCGTAAGAGAGCCCCACATTGCAGATGATTATTAATTTATATAGACAAATCAAAATAGAAGATATACTAATTATCAGAAAATGATTTGGTAGAGGCAGCCCCAATGAGTTTCTTTAGGTTTTCTACTTAAGAGTGTACACCACAAAACTACACTACTTATTTCCTTCAACTGCGTGTTTTCTTCTCTATCAAATGCAATTAAAACATACTGAATGGATTTTGCTTTATGAACTGGAGGACAGCAATGACAGAATCCTGATATGACCCTAGTGGCCATTGTGAAATACTTTTGACTGCAAGAAATGTCTTCACGAACAGGCAATTGGATATTATCCATAGCCTTTCAATCATAAAGTTGCAACAATCCAAGTAAAAGCAACAATATTTCTCATGATCATACATATCAGGGATTATTGTTAAGGCTGAACATCATTCAAACATCCTGAAAACCCCTCAAAAAACCAAAGACCAGGTTAATTGTGCAAGCACAAATTGATTTTAAACAATCAGATTTATATTCAAGTAAAAAGAAGTTAAGAATATCATCAGAATTCAGTGCTAAGTGAATGCATCAATTTAGTGCTGCATATCAAAAAGCAGCATCAGTTAACTGCAAGCAGTCTGTACTGAGATAGACTTAAATGCAGTCTCAACTTCAAGAGAGCAAAATCAATGGAGAATAAATTAAATTTCAGGTAATGTTGGGTATTGCATAAATTTTCTTTACAGAAAATGTGCACTTTCTTCAACATCAACACTACACCCCAAACAAATCCAGTTGGTTAAAACATAACCAAATCCACAGAAGGCTAGGTCAGAAGAATGTGGAATCATCAACTTATAGGAAAATGCTCCCATCAATAACGATCTACACCATTCAATCACCTCAGGAACTCAAACACCTGCCCAGGATGATGAAGCATGACATCATATCTACTTCCAAAAAAAGCTCCTTTAACCTAAAAGGGATCTAGAATATATTTTTCTAAATAATTAAATGTGGACGACAACCTAACCACCACAATATTTGACATATCACAAATGAAGATCTAACAGCATAATGCAAATAATTACAGTGCAACAAGCCAAGCCAAAACAGAATAACATAGGGAAAAAATAAACAGTCACGATGCTACTTTTACCAGCAGGAAATTTATCTACAGCGGATGCTCACCATCAGTTTCTGGACTGTATCAGAGCGATAAACCATTTGGTGCGACAAAAAACTAGATGCATAGTAATTTGCAAAGAATTTTCTGACAGAAGTGCTGTATGATTCTCTTGAAGACCATGGGATTGCACGAACAAGAACTGTAAACTGACTTGGATTCAAACGAGAGCCCATAACATATGCCATCCTCATCTTTGTGATGCTTTTGTACTCCTGGAGGCACATGGTAACAGTTCTAAAATAAATAAAATAGACCGTGCCACCTTTATAAACACTAGCACCATATAAGATTAGAAAGGGATACAGGTTGTACGTCCTTACATAGTAAAGAAGAATGCAAGCACAGCAGGATATAACGTATAGTGCGAGACAATGGGCCCATAGCCTGCCAAAGAAATGTGAGATACAATTGAAGACAAGATAGATCAATATATGAAAGACAAAGAAACCAGTTGATGCATAACCAGAGCGAGTGTATAATCCTGTAACTTGCCGGGGCTGGCATTACAATTACAAATTGACCAAGGTCGCTCAACATGCAACCCCACTCCATATTATTCCTTCAGGAAAGGTAACCAATGATGAGCAAAGATTAGTTATCCTACCTGTCCAAACTCGCCAAATGAGGTAAAGAAGGGGATGGTATTTGAAAAAAGGAATTAAAAAAAAAACCTGGTTGGAAAAGTACAACGCAAATGTAGACTTGTGGCATTCCTTTTTCTCGAGGTATAAGGGTAGCAGTTCTTATTTTCCAGTTAGTATTTCAACATGTCACAGGAAACAATTTTGCTTTGAGGACTAAACATACATTTAACAAAACATCTGAGCATATCAGAACTAAATATTCATAATAACTGAACCAGATCCTGATCTTAGAAAAGATTGTCATCAATAAACAAATACATGTTTCTTACCATCTTGATCGTAATTTGATGTTCCCAATGGTGAATACATCCAGTGACTCCGAAGGGATTTGCTTGTGCTGCATCTCTTGCCCAAAATAATTCAGGGGAAGCACAAGAAATAAGCACATGATAGCAGCAATGGAGAAGATCCGAGTACTGTATAGCAATAATACAGTGCTGAGGGTAAGTATAGTGAAAACCGATTCTAATCTACATAAAGAGGATGAAGGTGGACAAGAGCAATCAATAGACCAAAATGCTATATTGGCTTCAATAATGCAAATAACTGAAATCACTGCAATTTCATTGAGGGAAAATGCAAAATTTGTATGTTCTGCAAATAGTGAAAAGGGAAAAAGAATGAAACAATGAAACAAGGCAAAAAAAAGACTATCTTCCACGTGGTCATGTCTAAGAAACACAGTCAAAAGTTATAATATGAAAACCGACAGTAGAATATTTACTAGTCTAAAGACTACATCCTTCTTCTCTTCTGTTTTTTCCGTGTAGAAAAGCAGGGGGTTGGATCTTATTGGCTGGTTACTGGCCAAATTATTGAGAAAATCGGGCAAAACAGCAAAAAGTCATTGCGTAGATAGACTTAGTTTAACATGACCACGTATATTACAGGATTTTCAGATAACTTTAAAAAAAATATTCAGGAAATACAGCATTCCCTACGACGATTTCTAGTGCACCATCTTTCTACAGAAGACATTCTAAAAAAAAGGTATCACATAATAATGTAATGTCCACCAAAAGATAAAACTTGAGAAAAAAGCTATATAGGTCTCTGCTTGCAAAGATGCTGTACAACATGTTCCTACTTACTACGTAGTAGCCATTGTCATGGTTTACATATAAGAAAACATGGTCCTCTATGCAATCAGGGTAAACTATACCGACCGTAGTGTTAGACTACAAACATGTTTACAACTATAATCTGTGAAAAACTATCCAACATGGAAGATATCAAAGAGTTAAGAGGTCATAACAAATCAAAATAAAGCAAATGACAGAAAATTTGGAACTCTTCAAAAACTTTTTTTTTCTTGTAAGTAGAATGTCTGCACACGATTTTAGACAATAAAGGTGTAGTTCACATGTATTGCCCAAATAACACAAACAACAGAAAGTCAGAAACTCTTCACAATATTTTTCAAAATTAAGGTGAAATTCAAATGTACAGCCCAAGTTATGTATATCGGAAAAAGAAGTCAGTCACTCAAAGAATTATACACACCACAAACAAATAATATGTGTCACAAAAAATGGCATAACGGTAGATTAAAAAATTAGATAATAAGCTAATAATTGGCCAGGGGGACCAAAGATTACGGTCCTTTGCCAACAGATCATAATCCTTATCTCACACAATTTCCAATAAATATCACACCAAATGATCGGCAACTACAAGCCACCTATTTACCGATGGCTAGTTGTTAGATGCATCACACATATGACCAAGTATAATATAAGGCAAACAGATATTAACTTTCAGCATCTACAAGTTTAAGGGAAGTCATCACCTGAAAACAACCATCCTGAGAAAAACCACTGCATCCAACCCGCCAGTAGCAAATATCTCTTCGTCAGATGTTTCCCAGACCTTCACTATCCAATTAGCAGAAGGAACAAGGCTGTCAAGGCAAAAAGGATTGTGGTGTTTTGATCGTACCTGAGCAAGCCTATGCCCGAAGTACACATTTGCAAGGCTTGGTTGTTTTCTTAAAATGGAATACAACCACAAAAGCGCCACAGACAGGGTAATATTGATACCAGCAGAAGTCAGAAGAGCAGAGATGTTCATCTCCGTCCACTATATCTGCATCATTCTAGTGTCTCATAAACCAAAAATAACATTAAAGGACATCATACTGAAAATTCAAATAAAATTTAAGAAGACGAATATAGCAATATGAAGGTGGTTGCTCTTGATAAGGCTCCTGGAGCTGCAAAAAAATAACAAGTCCATGAATGTTTCAGTTTAATACTTTTGCACAAAACTCTAAACATAGACAATCATAGAGCCAACAATTTCTGACACATATATCCACAGGATAAATAACCTTAAAACAAGTAAAAATGAACTCGGGTTTGAGGCATCTCATTCATATTTAGCAACCATGACAAATATAGAAAGCTCATATAATCCATCGCAAGTATTTAAAAAGTACGAGTGCGAGGATTTAAAAACTAATATATGGTTTAATATACAGAGTTTGTCTCCTTGCTCATATTTAGCAAACATGACAAATACAGAAGGGATCCAGTGTTAGGGATTAAAAAAATACACGAGACCCATCTAAGTAATGTATGGTGTAACATTCGAAAAAATATTCATTGGAACGGTGATACCACGCCGGCATTGATGACATGGTATCACCAACCAATAATGTGCGAACAAATAGAAAAACGGACCCCACTCTTCTTCCATGTAAACCAATAATTCTCTTCTTCCATGTAAACCAATAATTATCTAAGTTGGGTTCACTTTGTCCATTTGAGGTTTTATTATTAGTTGGTAACACTATGTTATCAATGCTGACATATTATTACTGTTGCATTGAATATTTTCTCAGAGCATACATAGTAGTCAATCAAATTAAAATTTTAAACTTTTCTTGCCTTATAAATTACGAAATTCAGATAATCAATAACAAAAGAAAATCACACTCTAGCATCGTTTAATCAACAGAAGATACAAACAAAACTGTTCATAAACTCCTAAATAAACAAACAAAACGGTCCACTCGCATCACAAATCGCAACAAAGAGACAAGGAATCAAAAGAAAATTACCTACAAAGACCAGGCATCGACAGAAGCGACGAATGCGAAGTGATCCAAGCATTAAACTGCAAAAGAATGATTAATTGCGTTAAAGAGTCATTGGGCATTGATAGACTTCGATTCGACTACACATACGCACAAACAACACAGAGGGAGAGAGATTGGAAGGAAGGAAGAAAAAAAAAAAGAAGAAACCGAAAAATCCCAAGAATTTGAATTTCTTGGACACGCAAAACACGACCGTTCCTACAATACAATCCAAGAGAATCGCTAAGAATTGTATGGGTTTGTGTGTCTTTTTGTGTGGATATATGTGTATGTGTTCAATTGTGTGAAGATTTGCGGGGGCCAACAGAACCGCCATGCGAAGGACGGCACAAGAATGACCTATAACCGACCCAACTGTCCCTGTTCCGTGGATTTTCAAATTGATCTCAGATTTGGCGGTTATAACTAATAGAAGTGAGATGTATTGGATACATAGATGAAAAGCGATTTTTGAATAAATTTTAAATTTTAAAAAATAGTAATTAGTTATTGACGATTAGTGGGTAATTTATCAACGACACATGTCAGCGTCCGATTGGAGAGACTCTTCAGTTTTAAATTAAAAAAATTTAAATTCTAAAAAATTAAGAAACGAGAAGGGAATACTTCTCAAGCCCTCTCATCTCTTATTTGATTGTTAAGTGTTCAGTGTATTTTAGATTACAGAAGGATCAAATTTAGATTCGAAATACGTAGGACAACTCTAATCGATATTTCAAATGCTCCTCTCCAATCAATATGTGAAATGTCTAGTTGGTAAAATTGAATTTGTAAAATTGAATTTGACATTTATACTATATTTGGCACATTAATTTGTTTAGATTTAAAGATAAAAATGTAATATAAATAAATTATTTTAATATATTGGTCGGAGTAGATAATGATTGGTCGGAGTTTTTTTTTTTTTTTTGGTCAAGGAGTACTAATGACTTGAAGATATCAAATTCCAACTGTTAAAATGCCACATAAACCTTCAACTTTAACCATTGACATCTCCATTTGGAGGATGCTCTTATGACCTTACCTATTCAATTTGGCATGAGTTTTTAAAATTATGACTATTCAAACAATTGTAACAAAACGTAAGACTATATTTAGATTATGTTCTTTATCTTGGAGATCAAGGATTTAAATAATTTTCTTAATACCGAGCTAACGAACTTGGAATTTAAAGTAATTTGAAAAAAAAATACAATAATATAAACGACAAAGAGAAATTTATTGTACAAACTACCGCATTTGAAATAAGATGAAAAAAGAGATCAGTGGAGTGACTATTATAGTGCAAAAACAAATAAACTAAGATAAACAGTGCGGATGAAAGTTCTAGTATATTATTTTGTGTGGGTGAGTGATCGAGAGATCTCTCTTTTGTAATACGTGTCTTTGTATTTATAGACGGTGACTCTTAATTGTTGGAATCGTCCTTTCGGCCAAGAAACCAATGATCATGGTCTTTACTTTTGTGCGTCGAGCCATCTGTAAATGTCGAGTCATGATGTCACATCTTTCTATTATCTGAAATCTATAGAAATCATTTTTTCTTAAGTGTCTTATCTCTCTTGGACCTTTAGTTACTTAATTATAACTGTTAGATCTTGTCACATGCATCAACCTCGCATCTTTTATTATTAGGGTGCAATCAATCAGTCGTTAAATTTGGATCAGTGGATAAATTTTGCTCCACATCAAACACAAAAATTCTAGGATCAATGACATAACTATATTGTACCATATCATGGCTATTAGTTAGGTCACATAATTCGTCCATAATAACTTATGCTCTATTGATTCGCATGTGAATTCACTTTTTAGGAGCAAATTGCTTTGAATTTACGTTTTTAATTTTTCAAATTCACAAATTCAATTCTACTGAATTCATGAATTTAAATTAAACCAAATTCACAAATTCATTTTATTGCATCCATGAATTTATAAATCAAATTCATGGATTAGGGATGAGTTTTAGTAAAAATTCAATTTTACCCCATACTAAATACACAAATAAGATTAATTATGTCCTAAATGCGCTACATTAGTAAAATAAAAAATATTTTTAAAGAAGTTATATAGTAAAATATAATTTCTTATTTTAAATGCTAAAAATAAAAAAAAATGTAAATACTTTTACCATATAGAATCAAGTTTGTGACCTCAAATTTTGATTCTTTAACGTTATAAAGAAGGATTAAAAAAAAAAATATTTAAATATTAATTGTTTGGCAACTTTTTCAGATATAAAAGATCTTGCATTTTTACTTTATTGCATCCTTGAGGAAGCACCATAACAAACGAATCCTTATTCTCCGTTGGTCGGCAACTCATTTCTTTATTTCTATCTCTTTATTCTTCATCTAATAGTTTCCATTTTTCTAATATTTTATAATTTTTTTAAACTTTTGTTCATAAAAAACTCTATAATATATATTTATTCTCATAAACTCTATGTATTCATCTCTTAGACTTAGAATCTCTCACAAACTTAAATTCGTTAAATTTCTATTGTCGAAATCAAGTCAAAAATTTTGACTTCAACATTATATTTGTAATAGTGTAATATTTTCTTTAATTTTTCAGTCTAATTTTTTTATTAGTAAAAACGAGTGATACTATATCATTGGACAATTCACATAGTCAAGAGTATCAATCATTGATTATGAATTTCACGTTTCTTTTACTTTGCTTTAAGTTTCCTACTCGACAATGATAGTGTCGAGTTAATTCAAAAGGTAGCTCAAGTAATAATAGAGATAGAATTATAAATTTAGACACTCCGAGTTTGAATTTTGACAACCTCATGGGTTCAGATCATAAAAAATTTATCTTTCATGAATATCTTAGTCTCGACATGAATAACATGCATTTGACTGAACTGAGGAAGAAATTAATTAAGAAACGCGTAATCTGACCGAGACATCCTTCATTGTTGAACAAAAAAAAATGATGGTGCCTGGTTACTGGTCGTTTAGACCATAATTTTTTTTTTTTTTTTTTTTGAAGATAATCTAGACCATAGTTCACTTTCAATAGAAATGTCCAAAAGGGTTTCAAACCATGTGCATGTGTGCACATCCAGCTCAGACCCACGTGGAAAGTGGGCTCCTAAGAATAGAGAGATCTCTCTTGTACTCTCGCTTATCCTCGGCCACCCTTCATCGCTCTTCTTGTTGGGTAATCCATCATTGTACGTAATATTTAATTAATGTATCATCGACATGGATCCGACTCTACATGACATATTAAAATATATACAATTCACGTGGGTTATGTATTGATTGGAGTAATACACAGCACAACTTAGAGACGATACCAACTATTGCAACGCACTTTACAGACAATACTAACCTAACACGATCCGCTTGCCGTCCAAATTGCCAATGCTTACCAAAGAAGGGGAACAACGACCAGCCAAGATCAGTGGATTGATGTATTCATATTCCCCCAACCCTCTCTAAATTTGTAAGAGCCAAATGTTTCCCAGCTTCTAAGCAAGGAAGTTATATGGATCAACTAGCACTGGCTTAGCGTGCGTGATGACTGATGATACCAGGAATAAAACGGACTGGTTATACTGAAGCATTCCAGGACAAGAATACATCTCCAAGATCATAACACCTATCAAAGCTGACAGCCAGCGTGGGAACTAGAAAGGACAATAGGGGAATTTCACCAATAAATTCTACCTTGAGCAAAGCGTATCCATTTCTAGAAACTTACGTCATACCTTGGGCAGCAATGATTAAAATACTACTGTGTATCTTCTTCCTCAAGGAATACATACAGAACCTAGAAGCAAGAGCAGTGTATTATTCCTGCTCTTCAGCAAGATGAACCACTCTAATCTGTACATTTTTACTTGCTCTAGTTCACAGCTCAAAGCACTTGATTAGCAGCTCATCCATCTCAACACTTCTGAATGAAATAAAGCCATTTATTTGAGTTGAAGGAAACGTTAAGAAAGCATTGGAAGATACAAAGACCTATGAGCAAAAATATTGGGCAATTTACATCTTCTGATCGAAGCATTCACCCTTTCCCCTAAAGTTGAACATGGATGCAAATGCTGACATTGAACTAGCCTTGTCATAGTAGCAATGGAGGCGTGGCTTCCTCGAATTTATTTGTTTCAGCTATCATCAACCCTGGGAGGAGCTCTGTAATATGCAGGAACGGTTGCGGGAAAAAACATCTGCCTAACTCCTTCCGCCTTGATGATGGGGAATATGATTCCTGATGCACTCTGCATAAAAGAATTCAAATTTTCAGGATAGGAAGAGGAAAAATAAGATTAAAATCAAAGAATGATACAACAGGAAAAGGAAATAGACACGCACCGATATCAGTCTAGCTCCAATCCACATACGTTTGGGTGAGGGAAAAGGCAGTAACAAACGGCCAACACCAAATATTGCCACTGCAAAGAAATGGCAAACCAAGCTCAACGGCCGAGGGTTCAATCCAGAGAGCAAAGATACTGGCCCCATTGAGAAAAATCCTCCAAGGCTCAAGTAATCAAAGCATGCCTGGCGCATTTCTTTCCTCGCTTGATCAGGTGAAGCACAAAACACTTTATACAGGGCACCTGCCAGTGTATTGATTGTGGACGCCACAGGCTGTGAATGAAAACATAAAAAAAGCAGTGAGCTGCTAACAACTGTGATAAAGATCTAAGCAGTAGAGAATATGCACAGTCCAGTCTCCAATTTTACTGCATCCTAGCATGTAGAATATGAGTAAGCATTCTCAGTGACATAACATAGAAAACTATCTGCTACACCAATACCCACCTTACGCAAAGTGTAAAAGGATTCAAGATATTTGCAGAGTGTAGGTGCATCATTCAGGTCAAGTAAAGGCTTGAGAAGATCTCGCAATACAACAATATCGGACAGCGCCACCGTCATTCCTCCACCAGTTAAGGGATGGCGCATGTTGAATGCATCGCCCATTAGTAAAGCCCCTGGAGTTGGGTGAGGCGCAGCGGGCATGCTTCTGTTGGGCATTGTCCTAATGTTTCCTTTATCAATTGCGGCAATGAAGCCATCATGCAACTCAGGAGGGACCTAACAAAGGCATGCAACAATTACAAATCAGTCCACCGTGCTACCAATTTAAGAGATGCATATTGCCGTAATATGATATAGCGTTTATGAGAAAGATAGATTTGTATGTACCTGGGGAGCAACCACGGTCTTCAAGTACTTGCCCATTTCACCATTTGAAATAGATGGCACCTTCTGACCAGGTACATCAACCAGACAGCGAATCTCTGTGCTACTGATGGGATAAAACAAGATAGGCGATGGGTCTGCCAAAACAACGTGCCCATGGTTTGCATATGGAAGTTGGGAGTTTTCCAAAACCAAACCAACAAAACAAGAAGGCACCTCCACCTGATAAATGACATTAATGGTTATTTCAAACAAAAGTGGATGCATGAACCTTGTTACGTAGAGAAACTTAAAGAAATTCCTCAAGTAATCCAAGCAAGAAAATTTTGAAAATAAATTTGACTTTACAATTAGTAATTTCAGACAGTGAAATAAAATGGAAAGGCGTCCCCACCTTAGGGCTGCAAAGAGAACGTCGCAAGTTTGAAAAACAGCCATCACAGACAATGGTTAGAGGTGCATATGCCATCATTTCGTCACCATTTTTAGTTTTGTATTGCACACCTTTAATGGTTCCTTTCTCTTCTAGCAAAGATGTGACTGTTCCTTGCTCCAATCGGACACTAGAGAAAATTAAAACCAAGGTGTAACTATCAATGGTATAAATACATTAATACAATAGTTCAAAAGAAAATTTTGATAAACTGGAATCTCATGATCGTAATTAAGATACTCCCACAATATTAGTTTAGAAGAACACAATAAGTGATAATAAACAAGGAATATAAACTATACTTGGGAAGAGATGCAGCTTTCTCGCGCATTCTTTGTATGAAGCGTCCATTGTGAAAGCTCCTCCCAGACACATCCGAGTGAAAATTTTCCAGTGGGTAAGAAAGTTTAGTATTCTTCCCATCCTTGAAAAGAGCATACCCAAACACCCGTTGAGAATCTATTTTTTCCACGCAGTCTGTAGTCAATAAATCATATATGGTTCACTCAACAACTAAAAGCCAATGTAAGATTGGTAGGTAAAGAAAAATTCAAAAGATTGGTACATTGCTGACCATCAATTGTAAGTCAGAGACATAGTGAATATGAGTTGACTAAATTTTTCTCATAAGCCTAGCCCTCACCTTCCAATCCCAACTCAATCAATTTGAGGTATCCTCCTGGTTGGAGCAATTCTCCAACAATTCGATCAGGTTCTGTCAAGTCTCTTTCAATCACATGCACCCGACGTCCATCCTACAATTTCAAGTATACCCCCCAAAAAAGGATTACAAAAATGAAATAAGATTTTTAACCATGAACCAAAAGAAAAGAGACATTAGTACCAAAACATGATAAAGTACAGGATCGTCAAGTGTTAGTGATTTCGAGTTTTCATTTTCTTTCCATTCTCTTTCATATCATTTTTCCTCTTTTGCATTACAATTTGTTATTTTTTTTGTTCAACAGGTGTCCAAGGAAAAATCCCTCGTGCCCGAGCCAAGGAGTTGCCAAGTGCCAAGATTTGAATCCTGTAGAATTTTATAACTTACTTGAATTACTTTACGAAATTTTAACAAGCATGACCTAAGCATGACCTAGAGAACCATCAATCGTTAAAATGGAAGACAAAATATTTACCGTATGACGTCATTTAGAATTAGAATAAAATAGGATGAAACTTGAAAACAGGAACCCCAAAATGAATTATTTCACCAAACACAAAAACTTGCATTTAAAAGGGATTGAATTGTTATTTGCACTTATCAACAGTCCCTTCTAACCTCCAAATCAACCTACGTGTATATATATAAATAATTACATGATTGTGACAGAACCTTGTTCATGAAATCAACACTTCACATGACGCTTATGTGGTCAACCGGATTTTTTTTTTTTTTTGTCATTTAGTCAACCAGATTCAATGCCTCGCTGATATTAAGAACTCCAAGAATTGCACATAGAAAATGCGATAAAGCTGGTAACGAAAGGAAATAAACATCAGAAATGCAGAAAAATTACCTTGCCTAGAGTGTGAGCCAGAGCCGCACCAGCAACACCGGCGCCAACAATAATCACATCAGCATCGTCGCCACCGTTCTTCGATCTACATTCTCCGTTTATGGCGGTGGTGGTGGTGGTGGTGCTCTCTGCAGCCTCCACAGAACCTCCTTGGTCACTCCTCTTCACAAACAATCGGTAAAGAAAAACAAGCCCCAGCACAGAAGCCAAGATTGAACCTAACACATACTGATCCACCATTTTCGAACAATGCGAACGAGCCGCCTAATACCGGCGACGACGACGAGGATGCTTCTCTCTCTCTCTCTCTCTCCCCTCCTCTCCTCGCCCTAAAAGGCAACAACTCTCTCCTCGCTGGCTTTTTGCCTTTTCGGAAACGTGCGTGTCGTCAGAGCTTGGCACAATGGAAAATGAGAGTTTTCAGGACAGATGGGCTTTTTATCGGCCTTAAAGTTCACAGCTCACACAAAGTTGTTTGTATTTCACAATTAATAATCGACTTATATTTTTAAATAATTATTAAATTAATTATAAGTTTTAATTATATTATTACTTTAATTATAAGTTCATCGTCTATTTAATAATCGATAAAAATTAAAAAATTAATAGCATTTTTAGTTTTTAAAGTATATTCGTTTTATCAAATTTAATTATTAAAATTTTAATTTATATTATTTTGATCATTAATTAGACAATTCATTAAATTTTTTGACAGAAATGGTCACGTGTCATGCTATTAGACTATATCAAGTGACCAACACGTGATTATTCTGTTAAAAACCTAACGATCTGTCAGTGTGGAGTATATTTAAATACAAATTGAATACTTTAAGAATCAAATTAATAAAATTAATATTTTATGAACTAAATTAATAAAATATGCAAAACTTTTTTTTTGATCATATAAAATATGCATACTTTAAAAATTAAAAATACTATTAATCCAAAATTAAATTAATAAATAAAGTCATAATTCAAAAAAGACAACTTGGATGATTAGGCTAATGCAAACACTAGTGGCTGTCGAATTGAAGACAAATGTAAAATTATATTCATACCCAGATGGTTTATGGAAATTGAGTATAGGACTCTGATAGTTTTTGAAATTAAATTGCAACCTATGGATTGGATTTGTATTTTATCGGTACCCTCAACTAGTAAATGATTAGGAAAAAATATTGGAATACGCTAATATCATCCGAATTACTTAAAATGTCTTTCTTATAATTAAAGAGCAAAATAAATTAAATAGAAAAATATTTTCATCATAATAAAAATAAAAGATACGGATTTTTGAATTTGAATAAGTGTCCTTGTTTCCCTCTCTCTCCTCTCTTTATTTCTCTCTCTGCTATTTTTCTCTCTTTATTGCCATTATTGTTAGTGGAAGAAAAAAAAAAGGGAATGTTTTGTGTCTGTCCTGGGTGTGATAGCTGTGGTTTATAGGTAGCTTTGAAGGGAGGGGGGGGGGGGGGGGGGGGAGGTTGGTAGGTGTTGAAGAGTGGAGGATTTGAGTGTTAAGTTTGGACAACGTCGAAGATGTGATAGGAAAATCGAAAAAGTATCTTAAATGGTAATAAGGACAATTATAAACAAAAAAAAGATGGGGGGGGGGGGGAGGGAGGTTGTTACTTATTTATTGTGTGTCTTTTCTCGGGTTTTAGGTGTTCCGATGCAAGGATTGTTTTTGATGCACGAATAATGCCCGAGGGTAAAATTAATGGGACAAAATCTAACAAGGGTACATTACAAATTTGGGAAGTAGGAAAAAAATTACTTAAAATTTCTATAAACCGCAATGGGTGCACTGTAATTTTGCCCGAGACGTAAGTGTCTTTAGTGGGGGTTGAATCAGTGTAGGTGAGGAAAAAGTCAAACGAGATTTCAAAATTTTCAAAGACATTTTTGAATGAAACCGAGGAACTGAATCAGTGGGCGTCGGTATATTTGACACAGTACAATCAATAAAGGATTCAAAATCGATATAAAATTAGTGGATTAAAATTGATAATTTTTTGATACAAAATCGTATATAACACGACATGTTAATATGAATAATAAATAAAATGGGTAAGTGTCAATCACAAATAACACGTTTAAGTAGTATTATAAGAATAAAATATTAATTTTTATTATATTTTATCAAATAGTAACTTTATTTTTGTACAAAAAAAAGATATTTTTACTTATTTTTATTTTTATATTTATTAAGTTAATTTTTAATTTATTAAAAAAAATATTAGCATAGGTTCAATTAAGTGATAATAAAATTTTAGACATAAAATTGACCATTATATTTTTTATTTACGGGTTATATAGGTCAACACAAAAACGATACGATTATAAATAGATTGACTCTATATGATTAGTTAAACGGGGTTAGATTAGGGTTCACTAGTTCTCGATATGAACTCAAAATAACACGACACAAATACGTCCCAACCCAACAAACTGTCATTCCTATAAAAATCTCATGTTGCAATTGCATTATATCGGATGAAGATGGTCACAACACCATTTCGTATGTTTTAACTTTCAATAAGTTGCCGACAAGTTATTATTCAAAAATCCCTACTAAATATTTAGTAGAAGTTGGTATATAGTGTCTTCAAATATTAATTCTTCTATTTGCAGCAGGTTGAGAGTTACAAGGTATCGATAATATAAAACAGAACAGATTTTAATAAGTTTATTCGACAGTTTCAAATGGATTCATTTAACGGTCATTAACATCTTTTTTAAAATTATTCATATTACATCGTAACTTCAGGCATAGATTATTCTTAATTTATAATATAAAACAAGACAAGTTTTAATAAGTTCATCCGATGGTCTCAAATAGACTCATCCAACGGCCATCAACATTTTCTCAAAATCATTTATATTATACCATGCCTTCAGACACGAATTACCCTAATAATATAATATAATAAGTAAATTATTCCATTAAAAGTTAGTTTCGTTCTCAAAAAGAATAATAAATACAGTCAAGGATTTTATGATTTTGCACGCTAGCACGATTACATCAACATCACGTTGGAGACTCGGAGTTCAAGAAAAGAAGAAGTATTTCTTTTTTTACTTGTAAGAAAGAAATATTTTGTTTTCTCTCCTTGATACATCTTTCGAATTTCAGACTATTGCGATTCTTTGATTGAAAATTTTTGTTTTTGAAAGAATTTTATTTTTTCCCAAAATTTGTTTGATTATTATAGTAAAATATAATTTATAATGCTATTCAAGTATTCATGTCTAAGTTAAGTTAATGATTTTACTTATTTTTTGTTTGCATAGAATATATACACTGGTTTCAGACCTTTTTATGTTTAATAAAATTTTAAATATCAAATATGTTGTAAAAAATATAAATATATTATATTATTTTTATTTATTGCAAGATAAAATAAAAAGGATTAATTACAAGTTGTACCCCGAAAGATAATTGAAATTTTAATTTGTACCCCTAAAGATCAAAAATTTTAATTTGTACCCTCAAAGATAGAAATTTGTATCAATGTGCACCTAAAACTAAATTGATAAATTATACCTAGATCCCCTTATGCTTGTCACTTAATCATTTGAATCATTTCACATTTAGAATATTACTCCTAAATCTCATGACATTTATGCACGTGTAACACGTAATCCTTTTTTATTGATATTTGTTATCAATAAAAATTTCTATCTTTGAGGGTGTAAATTAAAAATTTTGATCTTTGGAGGTGTAATTTGAGATTCTAACTATCTTTCAGGGTTTAACTTGTAATTAACCCAAACAAAAATTTATAGTTAAAGTATGTGTACCCTAAATCATACACTGTGGAACCAAAAAAAGATTGCATGCTATGAGCTTTTCATTGAATTTGTGTGGTCGCAACAATCCAGAACATATGTGGAAGGTGACCCATCAACCTTTCTTGATTCCCTGAGAAAACAAAAACTAATGGCCAGACATTCATGGTGGAGTGGAGCAATAGAAATTTTCAAATATGTGTAACAGATGAAGGCTCGTTGTAATGTAAATAATTTTAAAAGAATTGTTGTTAATAATTGGATAAGTTTATTTAATGCCGTCGGATAAACTTATTAAAATATATCGTGTTTTATATTTAGATATATAGAAATACCTTTCTTAGGGGCTTAACAAAAAATATTTTGGTATTGTACTGCTGAAATTTATTTCCTTAAAAAGTATTTTTATAATTTTTATGTGTCATTTTATAATCAAAATATTTATCACTTTTATTAGTGATTTTATCACTTTTGTTGGTATTTTTATTGCTATTACAAAATATTTTTATCAATTTTTTCGTCACAAAAAAATTTATCATTTTTTGGGTGATTTACTACTTTTGTGGGTTTTTTTTTACTATTGTTGTAAATGTTTTTATCACCGTTATAGTAATTATTTTTACTATTTTTTTGTATCACAATAATTATAAAGATGCTAATAATAATGATAATAAAAATATCCACAAATATATTAAATTTCGATACAAAATTTTATTTTTCATTAACAAGAGCTGCATTGCTTCTTTTTGTGTCATTAAAGCTGCATGCATTGCTTCTTTATGTGTCATTAAAGCTGCATGCATTGCTTCAAGTGCCATCAACTTTTGTGGTGGCGGTGGTGCAGAATAAAGAGCAGAGATTGAAATCGAAGCAAAATCCATAAAGGATGAAAAATACGGCCAAGGAAAAAAAAAAAAAAAAAGTGGCTTGACTATGATACAGAAAAAAATTCTGCAACAATTTACTATTTTTTAGAATATCATCTGTACCACCATTTAAATAGAGTTTATCAACTTTAGGGGTGCACCGTATACTTATTTTTTTTATTCACTTATCACCTTTTTAGATAGAATTTATCAATTTTTCGTATTGAACTTGCAATTTTTTCTGTTTGTAAGGCAGTGGTTTTTTTTTTTGGTTCAGCAGTTAAAAGTGTCCAAGTTAATTTACGCATATTTCGACTATTTCTTTCATAGTTTTGTCAAAGACAGACTATCAACATCGGAAGTTGGATATTTATAAGAAATAAATCTATCATGACCCAGCTTTAAAGAGTTGTCAAGTTTCACTAAATTTCAATGTTTGATGAGTCTCACATCCAATTCAAAAGTTATACTAAATTAAGTCGGTAAATTAAGTCAAAAAATTAGGTCATACTATAATTGCTCATATATAATTTGAATACTTTGCATAAGAACAATTATGCAGGATTTTGGTGGCGGTATCCA